GAGGGCTGGGCGGTAGCAGGCCGCCCTCCCACCAGGCCTCGGAGAGGGACTTAGAGCACGCGAGGCCGAGGGGCAGGCCGCTGGGCCGCACGCGGAAAAGTTAAATAAAATTGCTTGTTGGAAACCACGGAGTCCCACGCTCATAACTGGGTCACCGAACGGGGAGGGGAGGAAAGGGCTTAGGGATGACTCAGTTCCCTCCGGCGTCTTCCAGTCCCTCCGAGGCTGTCCCCTCTCGTACTTGAGACTCTGGACCTGCTTGTTAATCCCAAACGTCTAGTGCAGCGGTTCTCAACCTGTGGGTCGCGACCCCTTCGGCGGTCGAACGACCCTTTCACTGGGGTCGCCTAAGACCATCCTGCATATCAGATATTTACGTTACGATTCATAACAGTAGCAACATTACAGTTATGAAGTAGCAACGAAAATAATTTTATGGTTGGGTCACAACATGAGGAACTGTATTTAAAGGGCCAGAAGGTTGAGAACCATTGGTCTAGTCTAGTGTGTATGTGGGTAAGTCATTCCCCTGCCTCAGAGCAAGACCAAGAAGCAGCGAGTAGCTTCTTCCTGGGGGTGGAGGGGGGGGGCACACAGCCTCCCATGGGGACACACAGTCTTTGGTTTATATTCCGTGCAAGGCCCCAGCCACTCACCTGTCCAAATTAGACACCTGGAGGCCTTGACGTCACCTCTCATCACGTGTAACCGATCAAGAGCCAACACCTGCAGTCAGACTGTTAGTCAGTCAAATCCACCAGTTTAGGTCCAGTCCCACCACAAACTCAACTCCTCATTTTAGCCAGTGTATTCCTTCTAAAACAGACATTGGAACACATTACCCCCATACACAAATCCCTTCAGTGACTTCACTCTGCTTTTATTTTTTTTAATATATTTTTATTGACTTCAGAGAGAAAGGAAGAGGGAGATGGAAGCGTCAATGATGAGGGAGTCATTGAACAGCTGCCTCCTGCACGCCCCCTACTGGGGATCGAGTCCACAACCAGGGCATGTGCCCTGACTGGGAATGAAACGGTGACCTCCTGGTTCATAGGTCAACTCTCAACCACTGAGCCACACTGGCCAGGCTTCACTCTGCTTTTAAAGTCCTCTTGCGTGTTGGCTGGACTTACTGACTCTCATGAATATAGAAAAGGAAAAATAGTGGAGTAACCGGCAGGTACCACCTTAACCAAGTGATTAAGGTTAAAGAAATGTCATGTTAACATCATATGTTTCCTGACATGATGCAAAGAGAAGGCCACATCACCACTGTAGTATTCTTTGCAAAAATCTATAACCTCAGCCCTGGCCTGTGTGGCTCAGTTGGTTGGTCATCATCCCAGGCACCAAAAGGTTGCTGGTTTGATTCCCAGTTGGACATGCCTGGGTTTCAGGCTCAATCTCTGGTACAGAGGGCATGCAGGAGGCAGTCAATTGATGTTTTGCTCTCACATTGATGTTTCTCTCTCTCTCTCCTCTCCCTTCCTCTCTTTCTAAAAATCATCAATAAAAATA